TGCTGACAGCTAAGAAGAGCCCGCATCTATCCCAGCTCATAACGCGATGGCGGTTCTCCGAATACAACTTTGTTATCCACTGCAAAACTTGGCACGAGGAACACCCTGCTAACGCGCCCTCGCGCCGCCCAGACTACGATTCTCGCAATTACATCGGGTCAGCACATCTTTGGCGACGGGGGGATGAGGAGGTGTGCGCTGTACGTGTCGCATATAGGGTCACTGCAGTCGAGGTAGCAGCGACGAGTACGCTTCGAAACACGATGGCGCAGTGGACAAGCTTGACTTCACCGCGTCGAATACGGCCTGGTGTTCGGGGTGCCGCGACCACGTGGCATCCGCCTTAAGTAGCTGCAATAGCGGTCGCGCGGTCAAAGAGAAATTCTTCGAGTAGTTGTGGACATACGGTGGGAGCCCCAGCCATTGTTGAATTGATTCGGATCTTGGGGTGGACGCCAGGGGATATGGCTTCAATTTTCTACGGATATCTGGAGCGCAGAAAAGAAATTCTTCAAGATGGCTTAGAGCTTATTCTCTCGCTTTACATGGATACATGCTGTAAATGCTGGAGGTGAACTCCTGTATCGGTCTTGCAATATTCGGCCCGACTATAGATAAAACTGTTGTCATGTAGATTCCGGCAATATTGGAATGGACGGAGAAGGTTAGATACCATCACCCCTTAAATGTGACAGTGCGTTCTCTATTCCCTGAGGTTTCCTAATCCATTCTCACAGAGATGCCCTGGATGTACAAACAGTAGTTAGCGGCATAGTTATTTGCGCGTCAAATCTGATAAAAACCGTCCATCAAGTCGATCACACTGATCTGGGTATTGCCTGACATGGTGTCCAACATCTTGTCCTAGCGCGGGATCGTGGCGTTACTAGTCTTTTGAAGCACGTGACATCAACAAGTAGCTTAGACGGCAACCCTCGATGACAGCTCTGGCGCCTTCGTTCTGATCACGCGGGTGCTCTACTGCCGTGTGACGCAATACTTGGCAAGGGGGGGGGGGGGGGGGGGGTAGGCACGGCTAGACCGCGGGGACATTCTCCTGGAAGACCTCGATGAACTCGCGTAAAAGAGTAGCAACAGGGTTGCCGGACGGTTTGAGGGCCGGCAACGATTAAGCTACGTAGCGAGTTTTACGGGCCGACTTCAGTTAGGCTTGTTGTGGGCGTGTCCGAGTGTCTGACGCTGAGGTAGCAGCATCCACCACGACCACTGCCATGGGTTCATTGACTCCTCGCACGATCATGCAGACTTTTCGATCTCTCCGCGTCTCAAGTAACGGAGAAAGTGTTTCCCAAGGGACCAGGAAGCTGCGTGATTGGCGCAGCCTCGCACGGATGACGGACGACTTTGGCTCCAGGTACGCGCGCGACAGTACTGTCATCACCCCTCACGAGAACTGAGCTCGGCAGTCTCGGTTGATGTTGAACACTAGGCAAGTGTCCGCGGGCGACGTGGCTTTCGTAGACTAATACGGCGAACTGGACACACCCTCCCCGGTATACGATGGAAAACCACGGTTGATCATGTCTACAGGACGACCGCCCGGTTGTGGGATACTCGACTCAACTGCAGTAGCTTCTTCAGGGAGCTCCCATAGGACCATCTGTGGGAGACCACCCTCGATCATAGTTGTTGATCAGGAAGCTCCCGATCGACCTCACGAGGGATCTCATTCTCGATCGTTTGTGGCAGACCATACTCAACCATGGTTTCATCTTCGTTTACTTAGAGCTCCCGCTCGGTCGCATGTGAGAACCCGTGCTCAAACGCGAGTGGGAGGCTACACTCACCCACGTTACCTCTTGAGAGCTACTGCTCATACGGACGTGGGAATCAATGCTCAACCACGTCCAAGGTGTTCTGAAGCTCCGGGAGAGGACTGACACAAGTTGCACACTCACACGCTACACACGTAGGCCCATCGCTCTCTCTCGAAACAGTATGGTTATAGAAGCGGGGTCCAGAACTGCAACGTGTAGCCAATGGTTGATCGTTCCGTTCAGGAACGTCAAAATAGCGGTTATATCGGTGTCACGTGAACGCATAGTACGGGTCTATCTGTCTATGTGAGGCTGCTGACGAACGAACCCCGGGATACCGAATAAGCAATCGATGAAACCGCACTGCTCGATCACGGATTAGTCTTTCGATCCCTGGAAGCCGTCAAGCTCGTGCGAGATCGATACTGATAGCATGGGAGCTGCTGCGGCTTGTCATCTGCGTACTTCACAATGATTTGACCCAAAACCGTCACATACGCGCATGGCTGCTGGAAGCACCGACAAACGCTCGCCGCAAACTAAATTTTTGTCGTGACCGAATACAACAGTCC